AACAAAGAAAAAAAAAAGGCAGAGGAACAAAATAGAGCTAAAGAAAACCACATGAGTGAAACCAACACAGTACTATCTAGTAATGGTGGTAATCATTTTGATCTAACCTGGAGACATGGACCCTCCACCACTCAGGTAAATATTTCGACACATCTGTTTCCGTATGTCGATACTACAGGCCATGATGGCGTTAACAGTCAGCTGGTGAATACCCGGATTGTCTTTGCCCCAAACGGACGGTTTAAACAGTCCTTCGGTACAGCGGTATCTAGCCGAGTCCACAGTAATTTTCCTATGGAAATAAAAGTAACAGATTATCTTAACTTGCACGGAAAAAGATATGATATGCTTCTACGAAGAAACTACATCGAAAAGCAACTCATAACATAAAAATGCCAAAGAAATAAGAGGCAAATAAAGAATTTGCGTGACTTTATGCATGCTGGGTGAAAGTCGATCAAATGCCTATAATGTTTCGTCGAACGATCGAGTCGGCGAGGATCATTACGGACTGAAAATAACAACCTTGGCTGAATTCTCCGGCTGAAGAAGAAACCGAGACCTATTAACTTCAAGGAAAGAGAATCCCTGGTTGTAACACACCTTGTGCCATCTGGTATGGAGTACTTTTCCAGATCCACCTCCATTGTATAGTCCGCTTCTGTATCCTCTTGAACATCTCGTTTTGCCACAAGGGATACCTGAAGAGAAATTGAAGAACATCCTTATAAAAATATGGTTGCAAAAAATCAGTCTATCTTGATTAACACGCAATTTTAATGACCATTTCTATTACCACGACCTAACGCAGCTGCCTTTACTTCCATGAAAACCGTGTTCTTCACATATTTACATGTACATTTTGACCAAAGTTCAACAAAACACGTTTTACGACATAAACCAATCCAATTACACCATAACATTTCTTACAAAGAATAAAGTTCGTTGTTTGCCTCTGGACAAATATTCAAAAATCAAAATTCATGAATGTACCCATAAGAAACCAGAGCCTTTCTGGGCTCAATAAAATACTGAGTACTTTCAAAAGTTTCTTTTTCCCCGGTAACGTTTTCTCTGGATATGAGTCGGACTACCTTGGATGGCTGCCGTAGCTTATCTAGTTAGCTTTTTAGACTCAGAGTAAGGTAACTCAGCCCCCTCAAGCCTTCCTTGTTGACAACCGAAACAAAAACACTCCAGTCTTAATAGCTAACAGCCTTATAGCAGTAATCGTACCTTTTCTTTGATTGCTCGCGAAATGTAAGACTCGACTTCTGAGAAAAGCCTTCGGTTGAGATAAAAAAAGAAAAGATTTGAGGTCAGTTGGAACTGCAGAAAAAAGTAATATGGGTGTCACGAACTTCGGTTTTGACGGACGATGCCTGATCTTTTGGAGAAAGTAATAGAAAAAAATTGTCTTCCTTTTTATGTTTATCTTTCAATATTTCGCAAAAAAACACAGTTTTACAGAGAGTGCTAACATTTTTCCATTGCGATGCTATTTTAATCGAAAGATAGGCGACATGACAACTATGGAGCCTCTGTTTCGAAAGTAAGTCCGATTACTGTAAATACGATTCCTTGTTGAAATCTTTCGAGATTGTTTGGATCAAATATGTGTGCTGTTTGAGGCGAAAAAAATACATTACCAGTTACTCACGTGCAAAAAATCTGCTATTTCTGATCAATTCTTCTCGCACGTTTCAATTTTTTATTTAATATGACCTCTTATTGATACTCTGTACGGTGTACTTGTGCATGGTCTCAAGAGAGACTTATTCATCTTACCGAATGCCTTTCTCTGTCAACAACCTTGTAAAACTGTCGGTAATTTGTCTGCCGCCATAAGGAAGTCTGGTGACACCAGCTTCGATCATACATCCTGTAACAGGTTTGTAAGTTTAAATTGAGCACAATAGCAGTCTTTGAAGCATAATAAAGTAGCAGATAAATTTTCAAATGACTAAAAAAATGAGTGAGTAAATAAATTGTCACAAAAGGAATCAATGAATGTATGAATGAAATAAAACAGTAGGTTAAGACAGCCGGGAAGTATCCTGTTGAAAACTTCAGCGCTGCAGAAGATGACGAACCATTCGAGAACGAAGAATTGATGGATATTCTCGAATTGCTAAGTCGCATTTCAAAATTGTCTGACGCCACTTACGAGAGAGTGTCCGCTAACGGAAATGCGTAAATACAGCCGAGAGTTTGAGGCAAAACGGGAAACTGATAGAAAAGTCAGGGTCTGTCAAAAGAGATGTCAGCAAACGAGAGTGTCCGTTTTAGCGGACAGTTTACCGTATTTTATTTATTTCATTTTAATTCGTGTCATGCGCTAGACCCAGTTTTGAGTTAGCATCTAACATATCAAACGTGAAATGCTAAGTGGGTTACGTTACAGTGTTACCTTCCACCACTGGAATGATGTCGATATGATCACCGATATCCACTGAAAACAAAAAAAGAAAAAAAACATAAAATAGATAAAAATATATTTAATTTTGGTTCCACGGTGGATTCAGTGAAGGGTTTAAGTATTTTTAAATCTAACCACTACAACGCGCTACATGTAGAATAAATTATGCTTTAAAAAAATAAATAGAAAAGGGAGGCCAAGGTGGTGATTTGGCATCTTTTAATATTTTCTTCTTCCCTGTATCCTCACCATTTCAATTCTAAATTGGAACTCACCAACGATTCCTGAAATAGCGCTGTAGGAGTACATCGATAAAACAGCCTGTTCCTGGAGATAACATGCTTCAACTTTAAAGATATCCAGCAGCAGTTCTACTAGCTCTTCCTGTCAACAAATCAAGTCAATTGAGTGGAACGAAAATCCCAAGAGAGTATCAAGGTAAGAGACTGAATCCCCTACGCAGCTCCTAGGCTATATTTAGATCATTCCCATATTTAGTTGCGAATTTCGCCCACATGAACAATTCATACGGTTGCTATTCGTTCACCACCGTTCTTTTCACATACGATTTGCACCTCTTTGGAATTATAACTATTTGGACTCGGTCTAAGCCTGAGAATTGACAATTACAGATTGCATCGATACTACCAACTGTTTTCTTTCAAGTGTGAATTAGGAAACGGGCTTGTTTTTAAGTTTGGCTGTTTATCACCAACTGTTTTCTTTGAAGTGTGAATTAGGAAACGGGCTTGTTTACAAGTTAGGCTGTTTATCAACAACAACGACAACAACAATAAAAAAAATCAGTAACGCACTTTTTCTTGAGGACCGCAGCCATGTGGTAATGTCATAATCACCTGTAGTTATGAAAAAGAATTGTTTCAAAGAGCTGAAGCCAACTAAAGATCATGGTGCTCAGGAAGTGTACCCGTACTTTTCATGCCACGAAAAAACCGTCAACGTAGATTTACCTCGTCATGTCGATATGAAAATAAACCTCATTTTTCGAGTTAGTCGCCGGCAAAATCGCGCAAATCTTTGTAATCCTTTAACCTTTGAAATATATCTTCATTTCCTTTTATGATTTTTTGTTTCTGTTTTTTCATTCACCCGTTTGCCTACTTCAATGACTCTGGGAAGTTTGTCTTCTCTGATAATCTTTTATTTGGAGGTTTTCAGTAACTTAAAGGAAATTGAGACCTTTGCTTTAAAACAGGATAGCCATCTGCTGGAAAGGTGGGGGAACAGAAGAACACAACTAGTGACACACGTATATGAAACACGTACAACAGACTGGAAGATAGAGATAAACAAACAGACAAGAAGGCAGGCGTTGCCTCCACAGATTACTGAACTTTTTGAAGGCTTCAGGAAAAAACCACGGTAATAATTACTAATCAGTGATAAAGATAACGATGCACGGGGCTTACCTTGTGTTTAGATGGCTCAACTCTGAGTTTATCAAACACGTGCTCAAATATTCCAATTAAATCCTGTATCTCAATCCTGAGCTGTAAACACAAAAACGCAGAAACGTTAACAAGGAGACTAACGAATACTTGGTTTGTTGTAAACGTCGTATAGTTAATGTTTACATTATGTGGAATGTATGCTTGAACTTCTCGAAAAACAGATCTATTTTTGGAAAGATTACCTCTTTACCCTCAAAAGAACATGGCTTGATTGTGGAAAGAAAAATTTCCATTCGTTTTCATAGATAACACAGTCTTTCAACATCTATCCCAAGTCATGTCTATGGAAGCTAAGTCAAACGAGCGCATAAAAACAGTAAAACACGAATGATTTATAGAAGTCACGATTATTTACCTTGTCAATTTTCAATGACTTTCTCAAGGGGAAGTGTAACCTTGACGTCTTCCTTGTCTCAGGTAGGAGCGCATCGTATCCATACTTACAGTTTTCTCTACACAACATAGAGAATGCAACTGAGTCAGGGAATTTTCAAAACATCCCCTCTTTCTTTTGTTTAGAAAAAAAATTGGAAATATTAAATGATCTCGTAAGAGATTCGTGAACAAGTGGTTGGAGCTTGACTACAAATCCAATGGTCCCTGTTCGAACCTTACCGGGGTCACTATGCTGAATTTAAATGGAAAGACACTTTAATTTCACAGCCCTTCCTGTCACTCACGAGCACACCTGAGTAACGTCAAAATATTGGGGATTCGTCTTTTGATCGACACCCAGTTCATCCCTCTATGATGCTTACGACAAACTGTTAAATTTCATACTTTAATTTGTGTTATCAACAAATTTGTGTTATCAATACTTACGAATTCTCTTTGTCCACAGCTACAACACAGGGAAATATCACTTGAGGCCATGCTATATCAAAGAAATACAATCTTTTTTGAGGACTGAAAAACATGCACACAAAATGAAAGTTGGTGGACCACCGGAAGAATCATGGCTACAAAAAAAGGTTCAGTGGAAGACGAGGGAGAAAAAACAGAAAGATGAAAATTTACTATAAAACCAGGTCATTTAACAACAGATTCAATACTACCTTATGGTGGGAGACGCAACTATTATTATTATTATTTTGTTTTGTTTTGCTTTGATTTCAAATTTTTTTCGTTTGAAAGGGACTACAAAACAATTGCCACATTTCTGATTCAATCGAACCTCAGTGAGAAATTCGAGGATCTCTTGGTTATAACGAGCATAGTGATTACTCAATTCCGTGAAACGTACCCTTATTTACAGCCTTGTAAATCTGAATCTGTTTTTTTTTTGTCAAAATCTCTCGTTATAAATATATGTTATTTATCGGTTAAGGTCGGTCCGTGTGGTGAAAAACTGTCACCGAGGTCTTAAAAATGCTGCCCGAGGCCGCATACGTACCGATCCTTAACCGGTAAATAACATATATACATATATTTTTTTTAACTTAACGAAATTCTTTCCCAAAGAACCCGAATGATTTAGGGCTGTAAATACGGCAAGATCTTCCTTACACTAAACAATTTTTGAGCGAGTGAATGGTAGTTAAAATAGAGGTGATGCAAATTAAAGAGAGATGCTTTACCAAAACATTTTCATTTGCGTAATGATAAAGGTGATTTAAAAGGCTTCCAAACAAACTTTATTTTTACAACTATCTATCACATTCTGACACCTGTCAATTAGAGAGAGCGTAAGAAAAAAAAAAGCGCATGTACACTCTTGAAAAATAACGAAACTAGGTTGGCAGGGACTGTCACGACAATGTTTTCTTCAAAAACAGTCAATGATCCAACGGAAAGTATTATTCCCTCTCATCGAAGATTCACTCATGTACGAAGATTTACCTCTGTTCATTAAGTATATGGCGAGGAAAGAAATTGTAAGTAATTCAAATTTTTTTTATTTTGAAGTTGTGAGAGTCTGCTTGTTTGTTTGCTGCAATGGCGTGTGTAAATTTGGTCTTTCCTCCACAAAAACTAAATTCGAATGATACAATCCAACAAGACACAAGGGGATTTAATGCGGCCTTTTCTCATTGAATTCCTTCGGTTTCTGTTGTGCAATTTACGGTACAAATGTCCAAATTGGACGGACTTGGAAAAACTCCCCGAGAGCGTATATTTGTTGTAGAACTGAAATTAAAACTTCGCTCGCTCGCTCTTTCACTACGTACAAGTTGTTTGAGAAAATTCAGATATTAAATGAATGAAAGTTCCATCGATTAGTGCAACTGAAACCAAATACCTCACGTTTTAACTTTCTGGGTACTTTTTGTGAAAGATCAAAATTAATTGCAGACGGTTTTTAGGCCGCTTGTCAACCAACATAATGACACTATTGCTTATGCAAATTCATTTTGCAACCAATACTTTTCCGTCAACCAAAGTGATTTGAGAGAGAGAAAAGAGGATTAATACGTTATTTATCGTTCTTGCTTAAAAATACTGCCCAGCCGGAAAAACGAGATATATTTAGGAAAAATGGCAACGAAGGTTGGGATGTACTCGGCGACTCACACAAGCGTTTCCCGTGGGCAGAGAGAGGAAAATATGGACCGCGTAAAGAACCAATCAGATGGCAGGATTCGTTACCGTGCCCTCTAAAAAATAAATAAATGACTTATATTCCTAATTTTCATTTAGTGTGCTAAAACGTGCTAAACGACCGAATACTGATTTTAACGGATTCATTGTGCTTTGGAAGTGTGTCCGCCATTGGGGGCCTGTCGGTTTCCACACCCAATAGGCAGACTGTAGAGATTTCACAAATAGCTTTCAGACGTCATCCTGCCGGCCTGTGCTTTAAGTTACAGATCGTCATGTTCTCCTGTACTAAACGCATTCAATCAAAGGCGTAGGTTTGTCATACTACTAATGAACACTCAAAACACTAACTGCACTTACCACCTTCCTGAGCAAAGCCAGCCTTAACAGCATTTGATCCTAAGTCAATGATTATGGTTAGACCCTGTAAAGCAAACATACCGTGAAGCTCGTGTCTAGTAACGAGGAACAAATATTACCAACACCAACTGTGGAGCTAACTTAGCCTTCTTCCATTCCAACATAATTATTCATGGGATCTCTCAAACTCCGAGATTTCATAGAACGCTGGCGGCTGTTTTCGATTTCATTTCCGCCTTCTTAGTCGTAAGCATCGCCACAGAAAAATAAATACAGATTTATGCTATAAAAATTGGCTATAGCTAGGGCAAAAAAGACTTCATCCAATATGATACGCCCAATATTGTACGTGATCCTTCCCCTAGTTGACAAGTCACTCAAATGATTACAGACCAAATCTTATAAGAGCGGGGACATGAATTTCACTCCCTCCTCAATAGAAGGCTGGTTGACACCAGCCTCCACGGACCCGTAAAATCCCCTATTCAGTTCTTACTCAACTATTTCACTATGCTGCAAAGATGACAAGTGAAAAGGAATAATTCTAAATTTCCTTGTGACTTTTTGTACTAAAGCACCGTATCTTTAAGTTCCACGCAAAAACAATGGGCATGACAAAAAAAATTTGGAGGGGGGTGTAAAGAGATACAGACAATAACAATAATAACAATAAAATGATGAAAAACTGCGGCCAAACGAATTTATTTAAACATTTATGAGATATTGACACAAAACAGCTCGCAGAAGTTAGCATTTTATGTAAAAAAAAAAAAAAAAAAAAAAAAAAAAGAGAGAGTAAACAGTTGTCTTCATTACTGAATAAATTGGTGTGCACAGAAAAATTTGCTGATAACAATAATGGAGTAAAAAAACTACATTAAAAAAAATGCAAATTTATTAAAAATTTCATTAACTAACAGATTACGTTATCGGCATTATACGATCAACAGCCACGATATTCATAATGAGAAACATTTACATGGTTTGCAAAGAAAAGAGCTCTGTACAAAAAAACATCTCTGAGCATTTAGTAGAGGGTAAGTACCTCACGATTATTGCACAACCTTCCTGTATTCCAAACAACATTTATACATCTCAAAATATCTACAAAACCATTTTTCCATAAATAAAAAATGTTTCAGGCTGTTAAAGGCTAGTCTACGTTAGCACTTAAATTGCACAGTTTTTGGCGGTTTCCGGTTGAACAACCGATAATCTTTCTTCTCTGTGCATACCAATAAGCCCTCTTGGCTTGCAAAACTGAAGAATTTAACCATTCCTTATTCATGAAAGAAGGCCAAGAATATACGAGTATATACAACAAATTTTCGATGGACTATAAAAAAAATATATTGGGTTCATCATTTGGAAGGAGAGTTACACCCCCGCGGCAAAGAATAGATATGAAAACCTCGTACGAACGTTCAGTCTTTGATGGCTTTCAAGGCCTTGACTGCGCGCATTGTTCATACTTAACGATCGGTGATCATTTAAGAACCTCCTCATCGCTCCTAATCGCTTGGATCGCCTCCGATCGTCTCGGTAGTTGCAAAAAATCGGCGCGATCACATAGATCGGGCGAGCTACCCTGAAGCAGCATCGAAATTCTTAAACAGCTAGATTCAGTCGACTGAAATTCTTTTTCAGCGAGGCCTTACCCCAAGAGACAAAATAAGGAAGCTGCGAAAAAATACAACGGCGACTTTCTGAGACCGTCGACAAAAGCGATTTTCTGGGATTTTTCTTAGCATATTATTGGCGATTGCAAAGCCACGGCCTCTATTTCAAACTTGAAACCTTTAGTAAGCGCATGTGAGAAAATGTTTCGACTGCAATGGGGAAAAGTTGGTTTTTGAGCGCTCAGAATACAACAGGTTGCAGCATGGGAAAACAGTATTCAGCCACTCTAATGTAACAATCTTGTGAAAGAAACGTTGAGTCGACTTCATCGCCCAAAAAAGGCTTGTAGTCAATCGAAACGTCACAATTCATCCTCATTGGTATTAACTACATTGTAGGAATATGATGTTATGTTATATTTATCAGAGAACACAATCTTTGTATTTAATGTTTGGGTACTTGTGTCCTTGGGGGTCTATGGGCTTGGATCACAAATCATACGCGGTATGACGTTGCGTGAGGGATTTATGATACACGTTTAAAAATCAATTTTTTGCACAAATTCTGTAGATTCTTTCGGTTATCATGCCTCACACACCCAGATGAGTTAAAAGTAAACTAACCTCAGTGGCTGACGATTCCTCCAAACCAAGACTGCCTTCCAAGGGTGCTGCAGATTCTGCTTCCAAGGCTTCTTTCCAGTCCTCCGCCTCTTTTGCAGATGAACACTTCAGCTTCACTGAACGGCCACCTTGCGTCTGGTAAGAAAACATAGGTAAAAGCTACCCTTGACTACAATTCAGGTCAAAGGAGAATCGATAAAGGAGGTTAGTTCTAAAGAAACTGTGGGGTTGAGTCAGTGGGGAGTAATACAAGATAATTTGGTTCATCAACTGAGTTGATGATGTAAATTGACCACTGCAAAGAGTTCCAAGAGCTAACATTGCGAGTCTTTCGTTCTGACGAAGGGCTACCGCCCGAAACATAAGCTTTAGAAACTCTTAACGGTGGCCAACTTACATTATTAACTCGGTTGGTTAAAAACAAATAATCTTAAACCAAAATCGACAGTCAGAGAACGTACTGAGATTTGAATAAAGGAAGTAAGTTTCTAAAGAAACTGAGGTGCCGCGTCGGTGGGAGAGTATAACAGGGTAATTTGGTGTTAACAACTGAGTCGAAAACGTAAATTAGCCACCGTAAAGAGTGAAAGGGCCGGTTTGGATTCCATACGCTAAAATTTTATTTTGAGGGTCGCGACGGGGAACTCAGAGGCATCGATTTACTTCTCCAAGACCTTATCTACGTTATCCTTGTAGGTGCTTAGCTTATTTTTCCTAAATTGATATCCTCTTTATTTTATCAAAATAATACTTCAAGTACTAGGTACTTTTGAAAGTTACAAAGCACTAAATAAAGTTACTAAAACCAATTGAACGACTGATGAAAATATAATGAAAAGACTGGTGTAAGCTAATGCGGTGAAAAAGCTTGGTAGTTTCGTTATGTTACACAATTTTAATCAAAAAAGAAACACACTAACTTGTTCAGTCACTTCCAGAAACTTTTCGTCCATCTTCTTCACCTGAAACAGCAGCCATATACATATAGCAACATTAAATCTTTAAAAAAATCAAATTTAACAATAACAGCAGCAACAGAAATAATAGTGTTTCATCGGTAGTGTTCTGTTCCAATCTTCTTTTATAAGTAAAATAACATGTGGAGGTCGACATGCCAATCTGGTGAGTACCTTCTGTTTGACAGGCCAGTTTGCTATTGTGAGTAAGAGTACAGACAAAGCTAATTGTGTCAACGTGTAACGCAATGCCTTTATCAGCTCTGAGACATGGGTGACTCGGAAATTTTGACGTCGATATCATGGTTAAAAAACAAATAGACATTAAGGATGTAAATTATTGGCCCAAATACATTCCTAAATGCTTGTTATCTTTATTACAATTAGGTGTATCCATAAGACAGTGTTTAGAAATCAGCAATGTCCACTTACTGTACAACCGATGAGGTTCACAAATCCTAATGGTTCTCTTGCTCGATGATCCTGGTATGGCGTAAATTTGAACAATTAAGTGTCGTAAAAGATCTCAACAGCCAACCAGAGCTAAGCAAAATGTCTCACGGAACCTGAGTGAAAACTCTAACTCAAACCAAGTAAACTACTCTAGCAGCGGGATGAACTGTGACTGACCGAGTCACGATACGTATTTAGTTTAAGCCTGATTGGTTGGGAGATAGCGCAAGCTTCCAAGACAATCAGAGAGCGAGGTGACGCAAAACCAACTATACCCTTGAACATTACGACGATCACGAATGTTTTCCTACCTCGTAGTAATAAAGTTTGCCTCCAACAGCTTTGAAGTGACGTTTCTTCCATCCTTTAAATACAGAAGCCTGTTGCATACAACAAAACTTTAATACATCACAAAAAAGATGTACACGATGCAATAAAGCATACGAGCGAGAATGCTGGGGAAACACTCGAATAGCACACTCAGTGATTCAAATAACTGTTCTGGGATGTTTTAACATCCCAAAAAAGTTTAAACTCTATCTATCGTATAAGTGAGGAGACCCTTCGACTATCAACGAAAAAAATCCAAAAGACGCTTGGATTGGCCTTTATATTAGTATTAAAATGGACAACGAGTAACAAACACCATACTGTGCGCCCATATTGTGGAAAAGCAAACTTTCCTTTCGCAATATCTGCCTGTCAGCTACTTTAAGGACGCAAATCTTTTTAGGACGAGGTCATTACAAAAGACTAGAGCGGTAAAGAAACACATAAAAGAGGAAGTTTCAAAGAAATAAAGCAGAGGGATTGCTAACGATTGAGAAGATTAATACAGATTGAAATGATGATCACGAAAAAAACACGAAATCTTCCAAGATACGCAAAGCATTTTGACGGAACTCCATTATTCGCAAGCATTTATGAAGTATACTTTACTCGTTTCAGGTTCCCTCTGACAGGCTGCTTCTCCATGTATCCAGCCATGCGGATGTTATCAGGACCGCCCTCTGAAGTTCGCTTTTGAGTAAACAAAGGAAATTATTTGTTCTTTAATGTTCCTGAAACTATACTCATTAAGCAAATCCTACTGTACATGCACAAAAGCACTTAATAAGACAACATCCTTACCAACTGAGGGGTTGGTAGTGCGCGCACGTTACCGAACAACTCCTGAAGGACTGGGGTCTTGGAAAGATAAAGAAACATAATGAAAGAGTTATTTCCATATAAACCTATTGGGCCAGATTTTTAAAACCTGATGGCACAAGGCTTCTGTTGCCTACATTGATAATCAGCTACGAGGCTTTCTTGGTGATTACACCCACTAGATCAGTACCTCAACAAAACGGGCCAAACTTTCAGCAATTTAGAGATAGAGTTGGTACATGTGTTGTGAGGCACTTGTAAGAGCTTACAGCAAAGATTAAGAGACATATAAGACCTCTCTAACTCCCTCAGAATACTAGTTGCTTCATGCTCTTTGTGGCAAAACATGCCCATACAGTAGCAACCACGTAAACTAGAACTGAAGACTCCTGTAATAGCTCGAATTTCGAACAGTTTGAGATAACTGGGCGGGTATCAGACTTTGAGCTGACTGTTCTTTGACGGTCAATCATACGAGCCTAGTCAATTGGAAAAAAGGAGGAAAACAAGAGAAAAAAAGGAACAAAAAAATATTCAGACAACAAGGTACGTTAGCCAAGCAAACGAGATGCCAGTGACCAACTCAGAGCCCCCATATGAACACGTTGGCCAGGTTACGTGGGCGAACACTGAAGGACTTCGACTTCTTTATCTTAACAGTAGCACCCAAGTTTCCCATATGAACAGCTATCGGATTTAAATCTTAGCTACAATGTAGTAAAATAGCTTTAGTTTACAAATGGTAAGGTAACAGTTTTGTTAATTCGTGTTAATCAATTAGAGAAACTTTCAAAATTGTAAAAGTATAGTTGTAGTATAGTAATTGTAAATAGCAGCCGTCCAACGTACAAACATTGAGATACGTCTTCCCATTCACGGTCAGCTCATGATCATAAAATACGTTAATCGGGATATACATGAGAACATGCTTCTCAGTGATTCACACGTCTTTTAAGAGGGCAGTGTTCAAGGGAGTGTCGAAAAACGAAAGCCAAGTATTTAGGCGCCATAAGAAAATCTCAACGACCAATCAGAGCTAAGGAAAATGTCCCAGCGACCAATCGGACCGAAGCTTTACATCATCAGTAGCCAATGAGAACTCAAAGTGAAAACATGTAAACTGCTTGAAGCGCGGGAAAACGCGAACGACTATGTCGCTGTTGTTTTTAGTTTTGTATCTGATTGATTGAGAGGATGGCGCGAAGTTTCTGAACCAATCACAGAGAAAAATAAAGTAAAACTAAAGCAATCCTGGATTACTTTTGACAGTCAATTGAAAACTGCTCTAATTCTAGTACATGCCGTAATTAATACTCACAGGATCCCAGTCCTGTAGGAATTGTTGCTCCGCAATCAAGCCATCTTGATCATCTCCCTGACTGTTGTCACTGGGTGAGGACAACTCCACAGGTTTATCATCCTAATACACAAAATAAACATCACAAGTAAAAATAATAAAAAACATAACATTAGGAAACACATGGGCTTGAGGCTTACACATTTTTGTAATATGTGAATACTCTTCAAACGGTATTCACTTACTCTGGGTTAAAGTAGAAATCAGGTAAAAAAATTACTGTCCTTTGTCGGAAGGCCTGTTACTCATGTAGTTTCCATTTGTGTTTGTTTCTCAAGGGAAAAAATGCATACTGCATACACAGTGCATTATCAGTAAGGAGAGAAATAACTCAAATAAAGACAAACGAATCTCGTTTTGGCTCTTAATAGATTTATAAAAAACAGTTTCCTTCTCTAACGAGTAAAACATGGCAGTACTGTACCTTTTCCAACGATTTGTGGTCAACTTCGCTTCCAGATTTACCGCTCAATTTCCTTGTCACAGCGTACGGTGGTGGGCGTGAGGGAGCTGGTCTTGAAGGCTGTGGCTTTAGAGCAACAGGCTCGTAGTAATTATTTTTTCCATCATTCTTTTCTGCGATTGAATTTTTACCTGCGTGTTCAGGTTGAGTGCTCTGTTCTGACTGTATTTCAAGATTTTCGTAAGCAGAATTAGACGCTATATTTTGTTCATCTTGGACATTTGAATACATTGAGTCATTGTCCTGCAAGCCTTCCTCCTGCCTCACTTGATCATCATCATCATCCTCATCTCTGCCCAACGCATGGAACACATCTCCAGACCAAGGAGGAAGCTCACAAGATAATGAACCATTCTTGTGAAGTTGCTGAGGAGACAAGTATTGTGTGAAAATCAGGTATAATAAATAAGTTATCCTCAAATAAAGCAGGCAAAGCTGGCATCTAAAGACCTCACATTTACTTTGGCTAAATTTCCAGGTAAAAACACTGGTGAGGCCGGATTCCGCGAATCCCACATGGGATCTTAGTTTCTCCCAACTGGGATCCCCCCCTATTTTGGGTGGGATCCCGGCTGGGACCTCTATAAACGTTTACTGTTTCTCTTCAGTTATTGAAATCCAAAAAAGGGCAACCTGTCACTTGCGTGTCCTTGAGTATCTCAGCCTTGTTTGTCCACTAGCCTACACTGTCAATTAACAAACCTTTCCCCTACAGAAATGATAAGTATTATCTATCTCAAGTCAAAGGCAGTATCTCAAAAACATTTGATCTTAGCTTTCATGCCATTAAGGTATTTATTATTGTATATTTTCAGCTGCCTTATAACATTGGTTGTGTTTTCTATTATATAACTTAACTTATTCATGACTAATTGCTTCAGTACAAATAAATGGGTTATAGTGACAGTAGAATGCCCATAAAGCACTTTTCTGTGTCCCAAAAAGCCCAAACAGACATTTGAAATTGTACACATACTACAAATACTTCACAATGAAACACAGTAATTTCTAAGACTGATTAGTATTTAATTTCTTCTCCCACTATTGCCCCTGAATCACACATTAAGATTAGGAGATTGAAGACAATGATCAGCAACTAGAGACTGAAGCTTTTGATTGTTAAACAAATTCACCTTCTCAACACCTTAAGAAATTTAACAAGAACAATATGGAGAACATGCAAACTGATGTTAGGATGGAAAGGGTTCAGTACCAATTGAAATTACTCTCATCTCTGACAGTGGATGACTATTGATATTAAAGCCAACATGATTTTTCCCTATCCATATTGATTGATACATTACCCATAAATAGGGGGTGAAAACAAACATACTTTAAAGCTTAAGCATGACTTTACAATGTAGCGTCTAAATTGCAAGAAAATATGCAGAAGCTAGATGGGAATGTTCAGTCACATTTTGGGAAATTAAGAGTAAATGAGTTCCCACTGGAAGAAAATATACATATTACATGTACTTACCTGAGTGAGACAGCGAAGCAATCTACTTCTTAGTCTTGCAACCTTCCTTTGACTTGCAATAATCTTTTGAGTGCAGTCAATGGTTTTTCCATCCCATTCACTGCAACAAAAATTCATAATAATTAGACCCAAGACCTTAATAGCAAAAATATTAATATATACCTTTAGGTCTTATTAGTGAAATAGTCAATTGAAAGGCACTCTGAATGAGCATGGAAGATAATGAACACAAGAATACCTTTGAACTGATTTCAGATTTTCTAAACATTTCCATACTTGTTTTTCTAGGTCAATGTGTCGCTGAAGTATTAAAGCAGCAGCCTCTAACTCCTGTACAGTAAAAATTTAAGACAAAGCATAATTAACGGGCAAGCTTCTGCAGTGTTTTACATTTATAAGCTTAAAATGTACTTACCTTTGCACAATAATAAACTTCAATAACAGTAATATATAAATATTTTAACAAATAATTTTCATTTTACATAAATGAATGATCAATGATGTTTGTTGTGAATGCAAATGGTTTCATGTTAACTACAGTTCTTAAGCTACTCAAAATGCTTAATTGATCGGCAAAAGATGAGAAGAGAAAGAATTTACAAAATTAATAAGATAACCCTATGTAATTGATAAGTTTAACATTTTTTCTGATTACTTTGTTTACTGGAGAGTGTATCAATATTGAAAGGAGAATTTACTTGCCAATCAGTTGGTCAAAGTACTCACAATATATGACAGGCCCTTGAGAAGTTGCTGAAACTCTTCGTCAGTGCAGCGACACACTATCTCACTTTGCACCCAGTTCTGAGAGTCTACATTGGTAGAGTAAGAGTATATAAAGGTCCCTTTAATTTCTGATTTGTTAACCATACATCATTGCATCAAAGTACAACTGGTAAATGCTTAATATCCAGATCAGTAAGTTCACTGGTTTTTTTAATCGTTAACTGATCTATATGATCTTGGTCCCAATGCAATAAAACCACCAAAAAAGAGGGGTTGATTCTCCATCAGTGTATTCTTGTATATTATGTTGTACATAACAATAAATGTCATGTCTTGCTTCCTAACTCTCATGCCTGTAATTTGACTTCAATCTCATGCCTTTTCACATGTATGTTTGCCAATTATATTCCCATTCCTAGTGAAAAAAATCAGCTATACAGAGTGTTCATTGTGTTTCAGCATTAGCTGACTACTACTTGAAAAATGCAGTGTAAAAAAAAAAATCAATACTTGAAAAGAAAAGTTATCACAAATGATTGTAAATTACAGTGTGGGTGAGAAATTTAGTTGTGAAATCAACAGAGCACCAGAAGCATGTCACCTCTAGAGGACAATTGCACCTTGAAACAATTTGGAACGTCTTGTACACGTAGACAAACTAAAGCCAGAATTTGTAGCATTATTGGCTTAAAGCAACATTTTGGCCTACATGTATAGACATCATGAACACATTTTTGGCTCATATTTCTACTTGAACCACTCCTCTAACTTTTCACCTTAATGGGAAAAAAATTAAAAAGAAAGAAAAAGATTATATTGACATTAAGAAATACAATGAACATTAATGGTGGCTATTGGAAAAAAAAATTACCTGCTGAACACTTAAAAGCTTGCTTGAGTTTATGCAGTTCACCCTGGACTTTCTGACTAATTCCATCTTGATAAGAAGAACATACTCTCAGTTAAATAATTGTCTCCTAAATTTATAGTAATTATAACTCTTATTCCAGATCCCTCAGCTTGGTTTACTCAGACAGCAGTTTTATATTTCAGCGAACATGAAAGTAAGGCTGTCAGGGCAAGTTTCCCTGAAGATTACTGGCATGAGTGTCGAAAATGTAAAATTATTAAAAAATCAGTGTTTTTATCTATTAAAGAGAAAGTGAAAATATTAGGTGCTAAATGTCCTCATGATATTATGGAAGAAAGTGTTAAATCTTTCTGCTTGGGTTTTCCTATACCCAAAGTCACAGAACTATACTGTACTGCACTGATATTAATCAGACCCAATTAAATTCTGAGAATCTGACATTCAAATAAAATTGTAACAATAAAATTTAATAATACTTCATAGTACCAATCAAAATCCCCAAATGCTATGCCCTATCCATGGTGACAGATTGCATAGAGCATTGATAATCTAAATCTTGAAAGGAAAGGGAACATGTCCTTTAAACCAGGTCAGGGCAGAAAACAGGAGATTCCTCAGTACAAATATGGCACACAGTAGGAAAAAGATGTTTTAAAACTTGATATATTCCAGACATAGATGATATATTGAATACCTTTATCCTCAGCATCCATGATTAAAATGACCACTGCTGCAAATTATTTCTACATGAAAAAAAACCCATGATGTAAGTGGTTATTTGGGGAAAAATAATTGAAAAGAATCCTGATTTCCCACACCTTCTAATGGGTAAAGATAATAAGAAAGAATCATTAGTTATAGGGTTTATTCTGATAACACTTTACCTTGCCGATAACACTATAGATATGGAAAATAAACGATGCTCAGTTAAAATGTACTAGGGGAGTATGCCTGCAGACCCCCTTAGTTTAGAGAACCTTTGTACAAAAAATGTTAATGGTTTTGAAAACAATTTATCAGCAGTGTTACAATAACGGTGTACTTCATAATTTCATCCATCTATATATACAAGCATTTTATGTCAGGAGAAGCCACTAAGTTTGTCAGATGTGTTATATTAATCCAACCACACTAAAGCTGCTATCAAAATGACAAAGAGGGAAGGGTCAATAATGATATGTTTTAGCATAGCTTGCCAAAAACCCATGTTTCTGATCCTTTTTTTAACCTGAATAATACAATGAACCTGGAGTAATATAATGAGGGGCGGGGTCTGGAGACAAAGGGGCACAAAGTCCGGGAGGCGGAAGAACGAGGTACAGTTTTCTCCCCACCTCTCCACTCTAAGGGACAGTGACTTGTAAAGATTACAAAAACTTTACATGGTTTTCACGTATCATTGCTGTGTATTTCCTGCACCGAGAAACCAAAACCTAATGCCTCGAATAACTTACTAACTAACTGTCTCGGTGAATAATTCAATACTGGACGAATAAATAGTAAACTGAACATCAAAATTTACTACAAACCAGTTATAAGTCCAGGCTTTCTGTGGTTTGGTGCCGATAAGGATGTCTATCGAAGAAGTTACTTAAACTTTTACATCCATTACGACTTAAGTTAAAACGATTCAAATAACTTAAGTTTGGTTAACGAAGCTAAGCTATCAATTAGGTTTTAAGAATTCAATAAAAATAGAAAGCTCGCAAACTAAAATCCACGAGATGTAAGGAGTGATATCGGTTCGTATAACATACCTGTCAGCTTCTACCGAGCAAAAAACAATTATCCTTTGTTGATGACTTCAAGAAAGCGAAAATGAGATGAAAAGACACCAAATCGAATAAATCAAAACAACTTTAAAGAAAGCTCATAGCTTGAACTAAGGCTTTGGAGGTAAAATGTTTGGTGGTTAGGAACTCTTCCGGCTTAGCGACCGCGTCTACAACGTCGTTCCCAGTGTCCTGTCTCTTCCTTCACTTGAAAGAACCCAAACCCTATCTGGTCAAGTGTCTGTTAGAATTAAGAAAAAGACGATACATTGAGGGTACGGACAGGAGAGTTCAGGTTCAATGACCCTAATTTAAGGCTTTCTGACTCTTTAATGCAAAGTGATATATGACGGGTGAGAGAAGGAGGCCTGATGGTTTTAGATATATGAAAATTCATATATTTGCAGTGCGGTGAAGAAATAAAATTAGGAGATCCTCGCAGCTAAGAACACCACTGAAACGAGTAGTTGAAAATAGGACCTGAAAAAATTCAGGCCCCTACGGGATTTGAACCCATCCAAGTGATGAATGATGATTTTAGATATATGAAAATTCATATATTTGCACTAGGGTGAAGAAATAAAATTAAGAGATCATCGGAGCTAATAACACTACTGAAACGAGTAGTTGAAAATAGGACCTGAAAAAATTTTCAGAAGGAGGCCTGTTGATCGGAAGGGTTGGGGTTCATTTGCATTTGACTAGTAACAGTCCGCTGCTGATTGGGAGGGGCACAAACTCTGATCTAGGATTATGCTCCTCAAACGAAAAGTAAAGAGCGATGGACTAATCGAAATCACCACGATGTACAACTAACTAACTTAAGTCTTGCAAAGTGCTCTACAAATTCATTTCCTACGCTGAGTAGAACCAGCGTCTTTAAGGAACTGAATATAAAAGGGTCTTTCGATGGTCAAATTTCCCGCTTAAACTGCAAATTTGTCCCGACCTCTCCCCCATCGAAAGGCCTCCCTCGTCCCTCCTTCGTCATTTGGCATAGTGTCATATTCCTTCCAAGGCACTTACGCAAATCAGAATTGAACAAACCTTCAAACACATTGTCTGAAAGGTTTGTGACGGAAGCGTAGTAATATCACAGGCGATTCGTTTTCTACTGATTCTTCTTAATAGGGCAATGAAAACGAAAACAACATTTATTCTTCTTTATCGGACGGTGAAAACTGAACAGGCATCACTGCAAAATGTTCTTTTTCTGTGACTTCGTGTAAAGCACAAGCCGTATTTCGGAGCCAGTCGTGAACGCTGTTGACTTTCCCTCAAGACAAAAGCTAAACGAAAGCCTGATAAGAGAAAATAAAGTTGAATGGGAAACTTCTTGTCAGTTTGAGTAAGTTAGACAAATTTTGATGATCATTTTTTGCGGTGAAATCTAAATCATCTGATGGATAATATTATGATTGTTGTGTTGTTATGAAAACTAAAATGATTCGCCATTTACACTTGTGAGTAATTAATTAATTAAGTTCTAATTAAGCAAGCTGCAAGAGGCTTAAGGGAAATAAACACTAAAAAGCTTAAATGCCTCAGGGAAATATAAGAATCATAAAAAGCTACATATGACAGAGTACCATTTGCATTAATCGGCAACCTGCTTAAAAGCATTCGAAAATTAGTAATACACGCGCCTATTCCAGTAATTTTATCTTTTCCATTGATTTTTCTGACAAAAATAATAACATTTTGACTCCAACTTTCCTTAAAGTTGAACACGAATCGTTAGGTTCTCACCCATGTCTAAACAGCTTTACACGAAATCACTAGTGTTTCCGATAGGATGTGAGAGATGCTATTAAATTTTAACGACGAGAGAGTCATAGATTCTGCAAATTATTCAATTATCGAAACAAGGATGTTGATACGTACAGCAAACATGGCAAAAGAAAATTAAAATATCTTTTTATTTGGCTGAGAATATAAGGTAAAATAACTAAATTTGGCCTCTTTGTACAAGGGAAAGATGAATTAAACCCTCAATCCGCGAAAAATGAGGTCTTGATGAAAAAAAAAAAAGGAAATACTGCAACCTCATGCAATTTAGAATAAATTTGATATCAGTACTGCAACGAGACAATTATAATGACACTATTTAAAGAGAGAAGCTCAAAAGGAAAGCTAACACTAGGTTTGGTTAGGGGGCCTTCCTTCATTGCTATATACAAATTATTAAGATGCTAAAATTTTGTCGTAGACCAATATATACCAACGACAAAGTAACAGCCAGATGTTAGAACATAAAACATTTTTCAAATGATCCAAAATTGTCATCAGATATTAATTAATTAGCTGAGAGTCGATATTGCAATACATAGTTTGTTTTCATTCTGGCAATTTCCTTTCACCTGCTTTTCTAGTTAGCCAATAGAAGGAAACAAACATTCATTTTTCTTTATCATAAACTTTTTGAAGGCAAAGACTGAACATGTATCTCCGTATTATACTTATTCTTTGTGCCGTTGTGTCCGGCGTTAGCCGTATTTCAGAGCCAGATCTGAACGCTGTTAACTTTGCCGACAACATAGCAGGACGAAAGCTGAACAAAAGCCTGATAAGTGAAATGGAAGTTGATTCGGAAACTTCTTGTCAGTTTGAGTGTGTGGAGGAAGAGCGATGTCAGTCTTACAACTTTAGAACCATAAAGGGCGACTCAGGGAAATTCAAGTGTCAACTGAGCGACTCTGATCGATTTTTTGGATTTGCCAACTTTACTGAAGACAAAGATTTTATTTATAGAGGATTAATGGTAAGCGAAATCTATCTCAGTGCATTGAAAATGACTTGTCACCAGCTCAGTATATGAAACATTGCATTTCAAATCGTGGTGGACCTTCACAGTAAAGAGACACCACGAACAAAAGCAGCCTAAACTTAATAAAATTTTACTAATACCTTTGAGGGGTCGTTTTTGCGATGAAAATTTGCTAAAAGGGTATGAAGAGAGAACAATTCAGGCTTATATTCGACTTGTATTATGCGTTCAATATCCAACCTTGCTATTTTTTCGTGCATATATATAGGCATTCCTCATGAACTTTCTCGAGTTTCCTGATCCAAAAATGATGCGTTTCCTGTTCACCTTGTTATAAGTATCTGGCTTGTGGAGGATTATATAATGGAAACCCAAAACTAAATCACGTAGTAAAACATGATATAAATTATCGCACCTCTTACAAGTAAGTAAACAGGTATAATTAAAAGAATTTTAAAATGATTTTTTTCTCAAGGTGCCTTTAAATAAACCAAGGATCCCCCAGAAAACACTTTTATTCGAAAGGTCTTGATAAACTTAAAAGGGTAAAGGTTTTTGAGGAGTTATTTTTTCACAGAGCGCTTGCGAGGAGGACAGGTTTCAATGTGGCAAAAATGGAATGTGCATTCCCAATTATGTAGATGGCAGCGCACGATGCAAATGTGACGATGGTTATACTGGAAAATCTTGCAGTAAGTCAAGGATTTAGAAAGTTTATTGTTTGAGTCAATCAAAGCTTAATTATTTAACAAAAACAACTTTCGACTGAATCCCTTTTTTTCTTCGCAACAGAGGGGAAGAGCTGCTCTCAATTGTTTCAAGATGGTTTTAATGTCAGTGGCCTGTACACCATCAATCCGGATGGCGGCAAACCGATACAAGTGTTATGTGATATGACCACGGATAGTGGAGGTTGGACCGTATTTCAAAGACGTTTGGACGGCTCTGTTGACTTTTATCTTGGATGGGAATCCTACAAAAATGGGTTTGGAAATCTAAACGGCGAGTTCTGGCTTGGAAACGACAATCTTCACCGTTTAACAGCAGTTGATGACGTCATGATGAGAGTTGACCTGGAAGACTTTGACGGCAACATCACCTACGCTGAGTACAAGACTTTTAAGGTGGCAGGCGAAGCTGATAAGTATCAGCTTTTGATTGGCGGATACAACGGCACGGCTGGTGACTCTATGACAAAACGACACAAGTAAGGAAAAACTGTCTATTGTATTGTATTGTATTCAATTTTATTGTTTCTTTTTGTCCCTTTTTTCGTATGGTGTCCGTGCCGACCATGCTATTTATCAAGAAATTCTTCCATAAGTTGATTAGTTTTTATAATTTTTAATGGAACTAATCCCACAATTTTTAAATTTAAATGAAGTAAGGCAATATTTGAGTTTTAACCTTTATCATTCCAGCGATATGCAGTTTTCTACGAAAGATCAAGACAATGACATAGGCAGTTCCCACTGCGCCCAACTGTACAAAGGAGCCTGGTGGTACGACCAATGCCATAGGTCCAATTTAAACGGATTATATCTCAATGGTCGACAAACCACTTATGCTAACGGAGTCAACTGGTACGCTTTCAGGGGCTATTATTACTCTCTAAGACGCACTGAGATGAAAGTTAAAACCAAGGGATAGGATGGTTTCTATCGCGGGATAACAAATGCATGGTATCACGCATGACGTCATCAATGCATTGGATTAATCCTGACTGACTAGTAGTTTTAGCATGAACTGCCGTAAAAGCAGGCATATGCTCATTCCTTGTCAATACTATCCGTATTTAATGTCATTTTTTGATGGAGACCCGGTATGTTCTAGGTTCATCTCAGGGGATTGTCCATATTGCCATTATTAGATTAACCTTTAGTTTGTTTAGGTTTGTATAGTTGCAAGTGCTCATTCTCTTTGTGGGAGCCTCACGTGGGTGCGAGTGTCCCGTTCGCGTCTCTCCTTTGTATGCCTGTTAAATATTTAGTAATAGACTCGTTTGGGCGGCAGGTATGTCGCCTGATAATGTCCGCGGCTAAGATATTGTCCGAAAAATTAATATGTGGTCGAGAAGCGAAGCTTCCGAGGCAAATGTGAAATTTTGAGGACAATCTCTCTGTAGTGGAGGGAGAAACCCTTACTGCATGATCATCTTGGCCAAGAACTGAAAAAAGAGTAATTTACCTCTTTTAAAAGATCTCAACCGCTAGCTATAACAAAACAATTTAGTCAAAACAATTTAGTCCCAGTCCCACCTCTAGAACAAAACTTTTCGCGTTATCAAAGGGATACAGTTTCTAATCACCTCATCCTTCATTTTCCTCCTGGAGAAGTTCACGCTGTGCCTTTTGTCTTAGGGGCTGGTGGCATAATTTTCTACAAGGTTGTCTATTGATAGTTCAGTATTGGAGGCATTTCAGTATTCTTTACTATTATTAGCAGTGAAAGTTTTCACTCTCTTTGATAAAATGGGTCATACCATTCCAGGCTCCCCACCCCTGACATCAATCCCTTCTTCAGCTATAGTCCCATGATTTCAAGCCCTACGCGAACATGTTGTGTAATGATACTAAGGTGAATAGGTTGATATAGTAACAGTAGACTATGGTGGTGGGCTAGGCACGAAGTAGCATCCTTTATTGTCAAAAATCTGGGCTGAGTTTATTCTATAGCAGGATTATCATAAGTTATGCTCCGCTAGAGGTAAATTATATTGTAGTAAACCATTTAAATGTTCATTTACCCCATGACATTGTAGATTCATTGCTTTTGCCAAGTACAGATTGTTAATGAATAATTGTTAAAACTACTGAGGAATGGTTGCAAACACAATAACAACTTTTGCATGTAATTGAACCCATCTACTTAGTCCCTCCTCGGCCACCGATAGGTTTGTGTCTGTAACGAGGTATAAAACGAAGTATATTTCAAGTCACCCGCGTCTGAAATGAGCTGTTTCGCTTCATGGCTTTAAGGACGAGGCTATTTCACATATGATGCACTTGTCTAAGCAACGGTTTACTACTGGACTTCCGGTAATTCCGATGGAGTCGGATGAACTCAATTGGATTCCGATGGACCCCATCGGATTCCATCCGTAGGAGTCCATCGGACAACATTTTTGCCCTCCCTGATGTTCATCTGACTTCCGGTTATTTTACTTCCGTAAGAGGGTGTCACGAATACAATTTTTTGAAAACCACAATTTTCATCGAAATCCATTGTTGTGTATTGGGCATGTATGGGGATTGCCGAGAGAAAAGACCCAGATATGAAAGATGAGATGAGAAGATGACAGAAGAGAGTCAGACGGTCACACAGTAGACTGCCGTCGTTATTTCGCGTGGGCGGCCCGTTGTTCGTCGTCATTTCAGCTCCTTGACATCGTTTCAGAGCCGAGTCGCTTGTCGGAATTTCAGACGACACAGGTGACAGAGTAGACAGCTGTCGTAATTTTGCGTGAGCGGCTCGTTGTCCGTCGTTATTTCAGCTCCTTGACATCGTTTCAGAGCCGTGTCGCTCATCGAAATTTACCCTAACAGAGCCTCATTAATGAAGGAAAAAGATATATATAGGATCCACAATCTTCGGGAAAAAAAAGGCGTAGAGTGCGTCGACTATAAGGCTCAAGATGAAAGAAATGCATGGAATCATTACAAAAACAAGCAATGGGCGTAGATTCCAGCTACAAAATTCTCAGTTATTGACTGTTTCCTTGCAGACATAAAATCTCAACTGTTACACGACCAAAATCAGCCTGTGGCAAATATTCCAGTTTTCGATTTTCTCTCTTAGCCGCGAGAAATATCATTATCCAAGACACTGAGTACTTAACTTTCGGTTTTTCTCTTTTTATTTTGGTCATCTCTCTTTGAACGTCACTTTCTATGAGCGATGTGAGAAAATTGTGACAAACGACCTTGGATTAAGAATGGTGACGGTTTTGCCATTCATTCATCAACTTGAGTGAGTGGCGCGTAAGGTGAGTGATGTGTCAGTAGCTGATTGGCAACATCAACCACACGAGAAAAGTTATCGTATTTTTTCGCGTGTGTTGTTACGGCTTTTTTCAGGGCTGTAAATTCTTGTATAAGATCACAGTTTACATGATAAAAATCAATTTATACGTTAAAAAAGAACATTCTACCCAGTAAAAAAATCGATATTGACAATATGAAAGGAATTTTCTTCGTAAAGAATAGTTTTTTAAAAACGAAATCAGAATTTTTCGTGAACACCTTCCAATGAAATATGCAAAATAGTCTATTCAGTCCCAGTCCTTAATTGTCAAGTTTCAACTGAAGTGTGAGCAGAGCAACGGCGCCCAAAATGTGTGAGGCTGTCCACACAAACATAACAGAAGGTAACCAAAGTACAACAGAGGTAAGATTTGGAAAAGACTACTACAATTATTTCGACACCAAAACCTACTTGAATTCTTATTTCACTGGAATTTCCGAAGAAACTCCCTCTCACTCTCAATTTGCCATGCGTAATTTCCACGAGGCTTGGTCCAAAATGCCCGAGGGAAATCTTCGTGTGTTAGAATTTGGTGGAGGACCAAACATTTCTGCTCTAATCAGCGCCGAACCCTACTCGAAAGAGATAATTTTTGCCGAGTACAGCGAAAGGAATCGGCGAGAAGTAGAGGAATGGCTGCAGAACTCACCTGATTCTCATGATTGGTCATCGTATTTCAACTTTGTCGTCCAGAACTTGGAAGGAAAGACAAGCGAAGAAGTGTCAATTCGACAAGAAGCACTGAGGAAGAAAGTGACCCATATTCTATCGTGTGATATTGGATGGGAGGACCCGGTAAAATGGCCATCTTCGTGGTCCACACAGATTCGATCGTTTGATGTGATCACAACAAATCTGTGTCTAGAAGCTTCCGTGACATCTACAGAAGACTATCGTCACGCGATCGCCAAGCTGTCAAGGTACTTGAAAGCTGGTGGATATTTTGTCATGCTTGGAGTTCTGGGCGAGAGTTTTTACATGGTTGGTAATGAAAAATTTTATTGCTTTCCTCTGAGTAAGAGTATTATTGAGGAAACTTTTGCGGAAGAGGGATACCAGATTCTTGATCTGAAGGTATTTACCTTAGATCCGACAGTGACAAAGGGGAATTGCAATGCTGAAGGTTTGTTCTTTTTTAGAGGCAGGTTTGACGCGCATGCATAGCCCATCTAGATGTCAGTTGTAATGATTGCTGATGGCTGTTCATTGAAAAGCAGAAAAGTGGCTAGTGCTCAAAAACTAAGTTATTTTAGACACAGTTTTTATACTTACTGTGGTCTCATTAGAAAGTAATAATCAAATTTTAAGGTTCTTCTAGTCTTCACTTGTTTGTACCAGATCTTTTCTGTTACAATGCCAATTGCTTCATTTTTTTTTCTTGTCCTTGTGCTTCTAGTTTGTTTATAGGTTCTACAGTCCAGCATATTAACCCTTTAACTTCCAAGATCAAATTGTTAATTCCCCTTAAGCTGCAGTGCATTTTCTTGTAAATTAGTAATGAGAATTTGGTGTTAGATCAAGATAACAACTTCTACCTCATAAGTTTGAATATTCTCATCACTTATTTGCTGGATAATGTAATGATACTATAGGGAGAAGTTTCATGTTGATCACTTTTGGGAATTATTAAAGGAATGCAAGGAAATGCCTTGGGAATAAAGAAAAATATCAACTAATAACTAATAAGTTGATCCAATTCCAGATTGTAACATCCAAAGAATTGTATGGGAAGTAATGAGAATTACTACTGAGATCTTGGGAGTGAGAGGGTTAAAATATCAATCACCACATTTTGTACAATGATCATTTCCTTGCATCCCTTTAATAATGTAGTAATAATTGATAATGTGTGACATGATTTTCTACAAGGTGGTCCAAATATTTTATTAGTTATAGGGTATAAGAGGCAATTCAGGTGTTTTTCAAATTTCAGCAGAAAATAAGTTCTTATGGATGTTTCAGTAAGTCCAATAAGTTTGTAACTCATAACTCACAACAAAAAATTGTGTTTAGGATGGTTAAATGCATGCTGTCCAAGATTATACATGCACTTCCTTCACATGGTTCTATACAAAACAAAACTCCTGATCAAACTGTCAGCTTCTTTGCTTGTCAGTAAGCTGGAACTGTTCAATGTATTTCCTTGTACACTTGAGCACTTCTTGGATTTGGTATTTCTGATTTTGGTGTAAATATATTCAGATCCTGTTATGTGAACTGTTTAGTTAATGCTGGATTCTCATTCCAAAAGTAATGTTAAAATTCACATGACATTTAAAGGGAACACAGATTGAAGACATTCTTTAACAACTTAGTTGCCCACAGAAGTCAAGGGCTGAGGGAGTAAAGGAGGTTTTGTGATATTAATCCCAAAGAACAGGGGTTTTTTACTGCTACCAAATGCTACATTAAAGGTGAATTGGTTAAATTGATATTGGACCAGTCTGGACAAGGCATTATCTCATACCCAGATCCTGAAAACAATTTGGCTGTAAAAGGTCTGGGTATGCAATATCACCAGGCTGGTGTAGCATCCTTTATTGTCCATAACCTAGGCTGGCTTATTCATCTGTTTTAGAATTGTCATGAATTATGCTTTGTAAGAGGTTAATTATATTGTGATTAGACATAAGCAGAATTTTTTTGAGCTAAAAAGGAGTTGTAGGGGATCACAAAACAATTAACAAATAGATTCCATGTTGCCATGTGTCAGTTCAGTGATAGATCAGAAGACATCAAAATGTAGTAAGAATGAAATAAGTGGCACATAAGGTAGAGCCAAGTGTGTCACCAATGTTTATACCATATTTTGATGTCTACTGCGGTCTTATTGCTGTGTAGACCCATGGCAACATATAATCTATTTATTTTAAATGATAAAAAGCAAACTACTGTTAATGGTGAGGTCATCTATGTGTCTGCCTCCTAATTGATCAAG